CCATGGTGGTTTGCTGCCTCCATCCCACCCATCACCTAATTAGGTATTTCTCCTAATGTTATCCCTCCTCAATCTCCCCACCCACCTGTATACCTCCCCGAGTCCCCCGTTCCACAACGGGCCCTGATGTGTGATCTTCACCTCCCTGTGTCCATGTGTTCTCACTGTTCAACTCCCACTTATGAGTGGACATTCAGTGTTTGGTTTTCTGTTCTTATGTCAGTTTGCTGAAAATGATGGTTTCGAGATTCATCTATGTCCCTGCAAATGACATGAACTCATCCTGTCTTTATGGCTGCATAGTATTCCATGGTGTATATGTGCCACCTTTTCTTTATCCAGTCTATCATTGAGGGGCATTTGGGTTGGTTCCAAGTCTTTGCTATTGTAAACAGTGCCACAATGAACACACATGTGCATGTGTCTTTATAATAGAACGATTTATAATCCTTTGTGTATATATCCATAAATAGGATTGCTGGGTCAAATGGAATTTCTATTTCTAGATCTTGAGGAATCGCCACACTGTCTTCCACAATGGTTGAACTAATTTACAGTCCGACCAGCAGTGTAAAAGTGTTCCTATTTCTCCACATCCTCTCCAGCATCTGTGTCCAGATTTTTTAATGATAGCCATTCTAACTGGCATGAGATGGTATCTCAATGTGGTTTTGATTTTCATTTATCTAAAGACCAGTGATGATGAGCATTTTTTCATGTGTTTTTTGGCCACATAAATGTCTTCTTTTGAAAAGTGTCTGTTCGTATCTTTTGCCCACTTTTTGATGGGTTGGTATTTTTTGTTGTATATCTGTTTTAGTTCTTTGTAGATTCTGGCTATTAACCCTTTGTCAGATGGGTAGCTTGCTGAAATTTTTTCCCATTTTGTTGATTGCTGGTTCACTCTAATGATTGTTTCTTTTGCTGTGCAGAAGCTCTTAAGTTTAATTAGATCTCATTTGTCAGTTTTGGCTTTTGTTGCCATTGCTTTTCTTGTTTTAGTCGTGAAGTCCTTGCTTATGCCTATGTCCTGAATGATATTGCCTAGGTTTTCTTCTAGGGTCTTTATAGTGTTAGTTCTTATGTTTAACTCTTTAATCCATCTGGAGTTAATTTTTGTATAAGGTGTAGGGAAGGGGTCCAGTTTCAGCCTTTCTGCACATGGCTAGCCAGTTTTCCCAACACCACTTATTAAATAGGGAATCCTTTCCCCATTGCTTTTGTCCGGTTTGTCAAAGATCAGATGGTTGTAGCTGTATGGCATGACTTCCGAGGCCACTGTTCTGACCCATTGGTCTATATCTTTGTTTTGGTACCAGTACCATGCTGTTGGTTTCTGTAGCCTTGTAGTATAGTTTGAAGTCAGGTAGCGTGATGCCTCCAGCTTTGTTGTTTTTGCTTAGGATTGTCTTGGCTATGCAGGCTCTTTTCTGGTTCCATATGAAGTTTAAGGTGGTTTTTTCCAGTTCTGTGAAGAAGGTCATTGGTAGCTTGTTGGGGATAGTGTTGAATCTGTAAATTATTTTTGGTCAGTATGGCCATTTTCATGATATTGATTCTTCCTAACCATGAGCATGGAATGTTTTTCCATCTGTTTATGTCCTCTCTCATTTCCTTGAGCAGTGGTTTGTAGTTCTCCTTGAAGAGATCCTTCACGTCCTTTGTCATTTGTATTCCTAGGTATTTTATTCTCGTAGCAATTGTGAATGGGAGTTTGCTTGTGATTTGGCTCTCTGTTTGTCTGTTATTGGTGTATAGAAATGCTTGTCATTTTTGCACATTGATTTTTTTTATCTGGAGACTTTACTGAAGTTGCTTATCATCTTAAGGAGATTTTGGGCTGAGACAGTGGGGTCTTCTAAATATACAATCATGTCGTCTGCAAATAGAGATAATTTGACTTCCACTTTTACTAATTGAATACCCTTCATTTCTTTTTCTCGCCTGAATGCTCTGGCTAGAACTTCCGATACTATGTTGAATAGAAATGGTGAGAGAGGGTACCCTTGTGTAGTGCCAGTTTTCAAAGGGAATGCTTCCAGTTTTTGCCCATTTAGTATAATATTGATTATGGGTTTGTCATAAATAGCTTTTATTATTTTGAGATACGTTCCATCAATACCTAGTTTATTAAGAGTTTTTAGCGTAAAGAGCTGTTGAATTTTATCAAAGGCCTTGTCTGCGTCTATTGAGATAATCATGTGTTTTTTGTATTTGGTTCTGTTTATATGATTCGTTACATTTATAGATTTGTATATATTGAACCAGCCTTGCATCTCCAGGATGAAGCCTAGTTGATCATGACGGATAAGCTTTTTGATGTACTGTTGCATTCAGTTTGCCAGTATTTTATTGAAGATCTTTGCATCGATGTTCATCATGGATATTGGCCTGAAATTTTCTTTTTTAGTTGTGTCTCTGCCAGGTTTTGGTATGATGATGTTGGTCTCATAAAATGAGTTAGGGAGGATTCCCTCTTTTTGTATTGTTTGGAATAGTTTCAACAGGAATGGTACCAGCTCCTCTTTGTATGTGTGGTAGAATTTGGCTGTGAACCCATCTAGACCTGGGCTTTTTTGATTGGTAGGCTATTAATTGCTGCCTCAGCATCAGACCTTGTTATTGGTCTATTCAGGGATTCAACTTCTTCCTGGTTTAGTCTTGGGAGGGTGTAAGTGTCTAGAAAGTTATCGAAATCTTCTGGATTTACTGGTTATGTGCATAGAGGTGTTTGTAGTAATCTCTGATGGTAGTTTGTATTTCTGTGGAATCAATGGTGATATCCCCTTTATCATTTTTAATTGCATCTGTTTGATTCTCCTCTCTTCTTTTTTTATTAGTTTGAATGGCAGTCTATCTATATTGTTGATCTTTTCAAAAAAACCAGCTGCTGGATTTCCTGATTTTTTGAAGGGCTTTTTTGTGTCGCTATCTCCTTCTGTTCTTCTCTTAGTTATTTCTTGTCTTCTGCTAGCTTTTGAGTTTGATCTTGCTCCTCTAGCTCTTTGACTTTTGACAATAGGGTGTAGATTTTAGATATTTTCCCACTTCTCTTTTGTTGTGTATCTCACAGATGCATTCATTCATGACATGAAGTAAACGGTTGAAGTGTACAGTGATGTTCCACGCTCCCCGTCTAACGCAGCTTGCTCAAATTTACAGGCAGACTGACGTTTTCTTTCACATGTACTCCAAGTAAAGCTGGTTAGTGAGGACGGTGAGCAGCAGCTGAAGCTTTTGCAGCCTTACTACTTTTATCAGCGGCCGGGATTTTATAAATGATGAAGCCCATCAGCCCCCTTCCTACCCAAATCTCCTGGTAAACTTGGGTATAGTGGGCTTCATGGGGAGCCACATATTTTTAATAATTCTTTGAAGCATCTTGGAACAGGACAGACGGCTCAGGGAGCACCACAAACCCACAGGCAACTCAGAAAGGCATTTATTTATTTATTTATTTATTTAGTAGATGGAGTTTTGCTCTTGTTGCCAGGCTGGAGTGCAATCTTGGCTCTCCGCAACCTCTGCCTCCGGGGTTCAAGCGATTCTCCTGCCTCAGCCTCCCAAGTAGCTGGGATGATAGGAATGCACCAGCACCCTGGCTAATTTTGTATGTTTAGTAGAGATGGTGTTTCTCTATGTTGGTCAGGCTGGTCTCGAGCTCCTGACCTTAGGGGATCCGCCGGCCTCGGCCTCCCAAAGTGCTGGGATTACAGGCATGAACCACCGTGCCCAGCCGATGGTAGTGATTTTTAAGGCCCAAACACTCCAGTCTCATCTAGTAACCTCAGGCAGTTATAGTTTGTAAGCAGTCGCTTGAGAGGTTAACACTTTAAATCCCCAGTCATTTACAGTGTCATTGGTTTCCTTCTGCTGTCAGGAAAAGTTCCAAATTCCTTGTCATGGAATATAAACACCCATGTTCATTTGGTTCTTGTCAAGTTCCTCAGGCATATCTCTCACCACTTACTGTGTTCTGCCCTTTGTTCTAGCATCCAGTGAAACTGGACTGTACAGAAGTCCACAGTGCTCTTCCTTCACCTCCAGCTCTTTGCGCTTGCTTCTTGGCTGTGCCAATCTGTTTTTCGTGTCTTCAGGCATCCACTAACCATGCCTCCACCAAAAGCCTACAATACCGAGACAAAACTGGGATAGGTGTCCCTCCTTTGTTCTAACAGTGCCCTGTTTTATACGTGTCAGGGTGTCTATGACTTGGCATGGAAACTGCCTATTTGTCTACTTTTTCAGGGTATAGCACACGATTGCTGAGGGGTGGACTGTATATCTTGATCTTGTAACTCCAGGGCTTGTCGTAGTCTAGTACCTTAGCACATGGTTGTTGAATAAATGAGTGAAGAATGAGAAAACCAGAAGCTGTGATACTCAACCGCAATGATCATTAATTCAGTGTGCAACTATCGGCAAATTATTATCTAATAATAACTTAGCATTGTAGTCGTATGTCTTTTTTATTCTTGTTAACACTGAAAAAGTTCTCAACTCTTTTTTACTGACTTAACACTTGGTTACCTATGAAATATATAGAATGTAATTCTTTGGCCACGAATGTTGGCTCACGCCTGTAGTCACAGCACTTTGGGAGGCTGAGGCGTGCAGATCACTAGTGCCCAGAAGTTTGAGAGCAACCTGGGCAACATGACACAACCCTGAGCCTACATAAAATACAAAAACTTGCAAGGTGCAGTGGCTCATGCCTGTAGTTCCAAGTACTTTGGGTTGAGGTGGGAAAATTGCTTAAGCCTGGGAGGAAGAGACTGCAGTGACCTGTGATCACACCAGGGCACGCCAGCACAGGTGAAAGAGCAAGACCCTGTCTTGAAATAAATAATAATAATAATAACAATAATATAATTCTTGCTTTTTCTTTTCAGCTGCTACTGAAAGTCAACCTGGATCCCATATAGCTTCTCCTCTAGGATTTGCACACAGGGCAAATGTGAATGTAGACCCAGTTTCAGAAGCAGCAAGAGAATATGCCCAGGTTTTGTACAGAAAATACAAGATCTGGTGAGTGCCCAGAAGATAGCACGCACTTAATTAAAAAAAAAATACAAGATCTGAAAGATAAGGCACTTTTATTTCTGGGCTGTTCAGATGATATTTTGTTTCCCGTCAAATATATGATATGAACATTTTTATTAAAGGTTAATATTTCATATTATGCATGTCTGATGGGGTCTCACTCTTGCCCAGGCGGGAGTGCAGTGGCACGATCTTGGCTCACTGCAGTCTCCACCTCCTGGGTTCAAGCACTTCCCCTGCCTCAGCCTCCCAAGTAGCTGGGACTACAGGTGCGCACCACCATGCCCAGCCAATTTTTTGCATTTTAGTAGAGATGGGGTTTCACCATGTTGGCCAGGATGGTCTCTATCTCCTGACCTGGTGATCTGCCCGCCTCTGCCTCCCAAAGTGCTGGGATTATAGGCGTGAGCCACTGCACCCAGCCAGGCATACTTTCTTATTGAAATAGTGTGTGACAACTTCACAAGGGCAACCAGAACTCTGAGGTATTCAATCTATACACCTCAGGTGTCTACAATGAAGTAAATGTGAAAGCTGAGACAGAAAGACAGAAACTCACACTGCTCAATGACCAATTTTTGGAAGTTGAGTCTGAAAAAATGTGCACCCACTCAAGATAATTTTTCTGTTAGCGCCTTTAGCTGTAATTGTGGCAATACTTTTTTGAGCTGATAACACAATGGGGAAACATGAATCACAGGCACTGGATTTCAGTGGTACAGTAATAGCCATCTGCAAGGTCATTTAAGAAGACTGGTGATCACATTGCCACATTTTCCTGTGTGGTGTCATCAGAGTTCTTAACTCCTGACATCATGTGCTTTCACAGCAAGATGTTTCTAGTACTTAGAAATGGACCTTGCACTTCATACTTCATAAGAGCTTGAGACATTCCCACTCAGAGATATCACCAAATGACAAACATCTCTCTATGCCTGCTATATTCTTCCCCCAGCAAGGAGGATTCATTCTAGGTGAAGTGCTGTCCTTGGCTACTAAGGAAGTGTTCTGGGGATGCCATGATTCTCTCAGCCTCCCTGGGCATATGGCTTTCAAAGTAGGACACTGCCAGGCATTCATTTTACTGCCACCTTTAGAGAAACTCATCAAAGAAACACCCTGACCCTCTTCGCCTCTGAGACGTTGGTGTGAAAAGAGAGGTTCAAGATTATACACAAGATACAGCCAAACAGTTTTAAATTTTCCAAAAGTTTTATTTATATATACAGTTTTTCTTCCTGAAAATTTCAGGCAATTTTGATCAATATTCAGTTGGCATGCTAAAACTAGCATTTCTACGTGAACATGACTTGTGTGTGTGCACATGCATGTGTTAGTAAGCATTCCCTATGTTAACTAATTTTATTGCTGAAGGCTAAATCTAAAATGTTTAAGTAAAATTAAAAGAAAAAACTCCTCACTGATGAAAAAGGAAGGATTGTTAAATCTCACACTCTCCAACTATTACGATCATTGTTGATTTCTTATTTGAATGCAAAATTCAACTAAGAATAAATTAGCAGTAGAAATTATTCCTAAATACCAAAAAAAAAAAAATTGTGAATAATTGACTCAATTGTGTTTCCAAAGAAAGGAGGGGAATTTGTTTAATTAGCAGAGATTCTCATCCCTTATTGTTGATTGGCCAGTGTCACACAACACATATGGTGGTGAATAATTACACAGTTAAAATAAGCATGCAGATTTTTAAATTAAATGTAACGAGAATCAAAGGCAAAGCCCTTAAAAGCATGGCCCAGTTCTAAAGTTCTTTAATACTATGCTATACCACATCCAACAACAGTTAAGGGCTCACTCTATGTCAGGTACTACATTAAGTCTTAGCAGACTTCACAAGAGCCCTGTATGATAATTTGCTTCAGTTTTGTGAGTTTGGCTGCATTTACTAGTCTTGAATTTTCTAGGGTATACTAAGCTCATCATATTAGTCCAGGGGCCCATGGATATATTTAGACTTCATGGTAGAAGTAAGAATAATGTCAACCACAGGAGACTGTGGTGTGGCATTGATTTTGAAATCATTTTTTCTTGATTTTTCTTCACCTTTTAATAGTTTTGTGAGTTTTTATTTTTTGAAATTTCTGTGGGTACATAGTAAGCACACAAATGTATATATTTATGGGATACAGGACGTGTTTTGATATAGTTATGCAATGTGAAATAAGCACATCATGAAGAACGGGGTCTCCGTCTTCTCTAGCATTTATCCTTTGAATTACAAACCAATTATATTTTTAAAGTTATTTAAACATATACAATTATTATTGACTGTCGTCACCTTATTGCACTATGAAATAGATCTTATGTGTTCTTTCTACTTTTTTGTATCCATTGACCATCCCTACCTCCCCTCAACCTCCTCTATCTTCCCAGCCTCTGATAACTATCCTTCCACTCTCTGTGTCCATGAGTTCAGTTGATTTGAGTTTTAGATCCCACAAATAAGTGAGAACACACGATGTTTGTCTTTCTATGCCTGGCTTATTTCACTTAACATTATGATCTCCACTTCCATCTGTGTTATTGCAAATGACTGGATCTCATTTTTTATGGCTGAATGATCCTTCATTGTTTATATGTATCACATTGTCTTTATCTGTTTGTCTGTTGAGGGACACTTAGATTGCTTCCAAATCCTAGCTATTGTAAACATTGCTGCAACAAACATAGGAGTGCAGATACCTCCTTGATATACTGATTTTATTTCTTCTAGGTATATACCGAGCAGTGGGACTGCTGGATTATGTGGTAGCTCAGTTTTTAGTTTTTTTGGGGAACTGCTCTCTGTAGTGGTTGCCCTAATTTACATTGCCACCAACAATGTATGACGGTTTCCTTTTCTCCACGTCCTTGCCAGCATTTGGTATTGCCTGTCTTATTAGATTTTTTTCTTAGAGTTGTTTGAGTTCCTTAAATATTCTGGTTATTAATTCCTTGTGAGAGGGGTAGTTTGCAAATATTTTCTCCCGTTCTGTGGGTTGTTTCTTTACTTTGTTGATTTTATACTTTGCTCTGCAGAAGATTTCTAACTTGATGTGATCTCGTTTGTTTACTTTGGTTGCCTGTGCCTGTGGGGATATTGCTCAAGGAATCTTTTCCCAGACCAAATGTTCTGGAGATTTTCTCCAATGCTTTCTTGTAGTGGTTTCATAGTTTGTGATATTAGGTTTAAGTCTTTAATTTATTTTCATTTGATTTTTGTGATGGTGATAGATAGGGGTCTGGTTTCATCCTTTTGTGTAAGGATATCTGGTTTTCTCAGCATCATTTATTTGAAAAGACCATCTTCTCCCCAGTGTATGTTCTTGGCACCTTTGTCAAAAATGAATTCACTGTAAGTGTATGAATATGTTTCTGGGCTCTTTATTCTGTTTTACTGGCCTGTGTGTCCGTTTTTATGCCAGTACCATGCTGTTTTGGTTATTCTAGCTGTGTAGTAGTATTTGAAGCGAGGTAATGTGATTCCTCCAGTTTTGCCCTTTTTGCTTAGCCTAGTTTTGGCTATTCTGAGTCTTTTATGGTTCATCATAAATTTTAGGATTATTTTTTCTATTTCTGTGAAGAATGTCATTAGTATTTTGAGATGGATTGCACTGAATAAGTAGAGTAGGTATTTTAACAATATGGATTCATCCAATCCATGAACATGGAATACTTTTCCATTCTTTGGTGTCCTCTTCAGTGTCTTTCATAATTGTTTTATAAAGTTTTCCTTATAGAGATCCTTCACTTCTTTTGGTTAAATTAATTTCCAGGTTAAATTAATTTACATACTTTCATATGTAGCTGTTGTAAATAGAGTTACTGTTTAAATTTCTTTTTCAGATTGCGCACTGACTTTTGGCATATACAAATGCTACTGATTTTTTTTTTTTTAAGTTGGGGTTTCACCATGATGGCCAGGCTGGTTTTGAACTCCTGACCTCAGGTGATGCACCCACCTCACCCTCCCAAAGTGCTAGGATTACAAACATGAGTCACCGTGCCCGGCTGCTACTGATTTTTGTATGCTGATTTTGTATTCTGTAACTTTACTGAATTTCTTTATCAGTTCTAACAGTTTTCTTGTGGGGACTTCAGGTTTTTGTAATGTAAGATTACATGATCAGCAAACAAGGATCATTTGACTTCTTTCTTTCCTATTTGGATGCTGCTTATTATTTTCTCTTGTCTAATTGCTTTAGCTGGGACTTCCAGTACCGTGTTGAACAACAGTGGTGACCGTGTACATCTTTGTTGTGTTCCAGATGTTAGAAGAAAGGCTTTTTCAGTTTTTCTCCATTCACTATGATACTATCTGTGGATCTGTCTTACATGGCTTTCATTATGCTGAGATATTGCTCTTTCTATATCAAGTTTTTTGAGGGTGTTTATTATGAAGGGATGTTGAATTTTACCAAATTCTTTTTCACCATCCATTGAAATGATCATTTGGTTTTTATTCTTCATTTTGTTGATATGATGTATCATGTTGATTGATTTGCATATGTTGAACCATCCTTGCATCTAAGGGATAAATCCCACTTGGCCATGATGGATGATCTTTTTGGTTTGCTAGTATTTGGTTGAGGATTTTTGTGTCAATATTCATCAGAGAAGTTGGCCTGTAGTTTTTCTATTTTTGATGTGTTTTTGTCTGGCTTTGGTATCAGGGTAGTACTGGCCTCCTAGAATGAGTTTGGAAGTATTCCTTCTTCCTCTGTTTTTTGAAATAGCATGAGCACGATTGGTGTTAGTTCTTTTTTTAATGTTTGGTTGAATTCAGCAGTGAATTTATCAGGTCCTGGGCTTTTCTTTACTGGAAGACTTTTTATTATGGCTTCAATCTTGTTACTTGTTATTGGTTTGTTCAGCTTTTGGATTTTGTCCTGATTCAATCATGTCACGTTGTATGTGCCCAGCAATTTGTCCATTTCTTCTAGATTTTCCAATTTATTGGCATGTAGTTTCTCGTAATAGCCACTAAGA